TTTGAGAAATACAAAAGTTTTTTGATATGAAAATTCAAATTCTTCTAAAAAAAAAAAAACTTTCTTTTATGTTCGATATTTCTTATCAAATTTTCTTCCTATTAAATCGTTTTTTTTTCATTTTTTTCGCCATTTAATTTGTAAGCAAAGATGATGTCTCAAATTTTTACATTATATCAGGATTTAAAATCTAAAATTCTCTTGTTTTCTTATTTTTGTAAAACTTTTTGATTTACCGATCTCCTTTAACTAAAGTGCAGAATTTTTTTTGTCTATTAAAAAAATGTTATACTATTTTCTATCATTTTTCCAGCAACACATTTAATGAAGTAAATATTAATTAAAACATATATTTGTTAAATTTTTGTCGTTTTAGTAGATATGCTAATAATTTTAAAATCAAATGTAATAAAATTTGATTGTATGAAATATTGAAAAGTGCAATAATTTAATGAAAAAATGTGAATGAACAAATAGAAATATTAAAAAAAAATTATCATTAAAATTTATGGAATTCATTTACAGATTACCCGGCATGTATCCCTTTAATACATCATCAATTTGATATTTGTGATGAAAATGAGCTTAAAAAAGCGCTTAATTCTGTGACAACTGTATTTCATTGTGCTGGTAAATCATTGGAATATTTACACGATGGTATCAATCATACCGATCAATATTGGTATGATAATACAAATGGTAATATTATTCGTTGTTCATTTAATTTCAATATTTATTTAAAAAAGTAATTGAGATAAATTAAAAACAAATGAATTAAAAAATTTTTGAAATTTTGTAATGTTGATGATTTTAATTCTTTAGTGTAATTTATCCATTCTAATTTCTTTGTTTCAACATAAAAGATTTTAATAAAAACTTTTGAATGAAAAATTATCAATGTCAATCAATCAATTCAAAAATTAATTGCTAAATGAAATTTTATATTGCATTAAAAGTTTTTATTTGATAAAAATTGCAAATTTAAATGAAATTAATAATTTAGCAACGGAAATTCTGCTAAAAGTTATGCATGAAGAAAAGATTCCACGTTTGATTCACGTAAGTGATGCGTATGCAAGTTTACCAGAGGGTGATAATTACGGCTTATCAGAGCAAATGCATCTCGGTTTTCCGAATAGTTTCATGCTTGGAATATATGGACAGTCGAAAATACGGGCAGAAATGTGTGTTCGAAAAGCTGCTGCTAAAGGTATGATAATTTGAAATTGAACTGAAATACACGTGCAGTTTATCTGACGAAAATTCCCGTCTAAAAAAAATTCCCCTTTCTGAGAACTTCCAGGAAAAAAAATATTCCACTAGTGGGTTTTAATGACTATGAAGGAGTTTACAATCGCAAAAATTTGATTATTATAAATGAATAAAAATTTTATGAATTATTTCTATTTCGAAAATTTAAAATTAGATTATGGGTAATGTGCTAATCTTATTGCATCATAATGATACTGCTTAATTCTTTAACTCCTCTAATTTATAACATTTGAGTTACATGAAGTTAAATTAAATTTAATATTGTTAAAGTTCAAATGAATATACTTAATCTTAAGGTCAAATAAATGCACTAATCTTACGCCCTACATTTATCTACGGTGAAGGAGAAAAGCATTTATTGGGTTCAGCATTAAAATTATGTTCAGCATATGGTGGTATTCCATATTTACAGGATGAAAGTAGAGGACATCATCAGTTTGTCAGTTTTTTTTGTTCATACTATTTGAAATTTTATTTTATTTTCTACGCTATTTATACGAATTTTTTCAATGATTATTTATTTATACATTTGTATGTGACTATAACATGTATGCGGTAATATATGTTTGGTACTCATTATTATGAATAATTTTATATTTCCGATTATTTAAGAGAAAATTATGATTGGAATTAGAATAAAATTATGATTAGAAGAAAATATGATTAGAATTAATTTTATTTGAATTATTAAAAAATCATACGATTTATAGCTTTATGCGGGTAATATGGCAGCGATAATGAAACGAGGAATGGTATGCTTGAAAGAAAGTCCGGAACGGTATAATGGTGAGGTTGTAATTTGTATGGATTGTACACCGTGTATACGATTTGTTGATGTAAGTTAAGAGAGTATTGTTTTTATCAGTTAGCGGAGAATTATTATCAGTTGTTCTTTTATTATAAGTTAAAAGAGGATCATTGTTATCAGTTATTTTATATTATGAGTGAGGTAAGGATTATTATCAGTTGCAAGTTAAGATTATTGTTTCAGTTAGGGAAGAATTATGATCACTTGTTATTACATTATATGTTAAGAGAGGATAATTGTTATCAGTTGTTGTCTTCTATTGTAAAAATTAAGAAAAGATTATTATTATCAGTTATTTTCCAACATATCTTTTATAACTCTTTTGCTTTCAAAAAGATTTGATATAAACAGTTCATATAATGATCTTTTCATTTTTTACATTTTTTATAGTCCTTTGAAATTAATGACTGTAATTTTTCACACTTCGTATAAGAATAAAATTATTTTATAGTTTATGGAACCATTTTTGGAAGCAAATGGTATGAAACGTATAAGTACATTGAGCTATTTACAAACGCATTTAACGGCAATATTTTATGAAATTTTAAATCGAATTGCACCACAAAAATCTTTCGGCCATTTGACATTAATGGCAAACAAATTTATTAATTGTAAGTTAAAAGAAAATGTTATACTCTTGAAATGAAGAATTTTAAAAAAGGAAATTAATAGGAGAAGCATCAAATTAACTTAAAAAATGGCACATTTTTTCTAATAATTTGGAATATCATTAGCATAAGTAATACCAATTTATATCAAATTATGAAGATTAATTGGATCATTTTTTCTTCTCATATTTTTTTTATTATAAATTAAAAAAATTTTTTGTCATTTTAAATTGTTTTCAGAAATTTACGAAAAATATCACAGAATGACGCAAAATATTTTAGGTTGGACAGTTGGATTTTCCAATCGTAAATTACGTCTGTTGCTTGATTTCGTGCCGCCATATGAACAATCGCAAGCAGTGGATCAGTCGCTATGTTGGCATCGCAAAAATGGAAAAGCAA